GGTTGATTTACTGTTGATTAAACTGCGGAAGATCCGACAGTAGCTTGGAATCTCTTAAACTGACCAAGCCCTCTCAGATAGACTACCCGGCAGACGACTAGTCTTCACCGGGATAGAACGCCGAGGCAATTAACACAGAACTCCACTAATGGAATTGGATTCCAGTACAACGCAGTGAATCGACTAACTCTTGTATAGTGGATTCACTACTACCGATTGAAGAAGCTCTAACAACCTAATCAGATTCTATCTATCTCAGGTTGCAGCAAAAATCAAGAAAAGATTATCAGGCTTCAATTGACTCAATCAAAACACTTCAATCGATTATAATCAAGTAGTATCACAAACCAAACGTCATTACAATCGATATCCCTAACACATGGAACTAGGGTTCTTCATACCCAAATGAGAGAGGGTTCTACTCCATATATATATATATATATATATAGAGAGAGAGAGAGAGAGAGAGAGAGGAAAGCAGAATACAAAGCAGTCATACTCATCAAGAAGGGAAGGATCTGCTCTGGGATGATAATCTTCACTCCAAGGATGAAATCCAATCTTGATTGATAAAACCCAGCTCCAAAATCACCTCTAGGGTTTGTTCTTCGCACTTTCTCACTCTAGTACTCTATTTCTTGCTCTCAAAATTGATTCCCCTTTCAAAAGACCCAAAATTGGGTTAAAACCCAGAATTCCGCGACTACATTGTCAGGCCACACGGCCGTGTAGAATTACCCAGCTGCCCGTGTGGCTCTCCAAAACGCCGCGTTTCAATTATGTGCCCTCATGTACGCTACACGGCCAGAACCTCACGGCCGTGTGGAATTATGGCATGCCCGTGTGAACTCCCTGGGAATTCCACACGACCAAAAAGGGCCCTTTACAAGGCTAGTGTGGCTTTGCCTGCGCAAAGGGGTTCCACACGGCCGCGTGGAATTTAGGTCTGCCCGTGTGGTTTCTGTAACATCCTGAACCTTTTCCCGACGAAGATATTGTCCGCTTTGGGTCTCGACCCTCATGATTTTCAACTTGGGGTGCAATTCAAGGTGACTTATGTATCACCTTAGGCGAATCCCACATCGACAAAGCACGGGAGAGATCCATGGTTCATAACTAGGAAACCGGCCTTAACTGACAAGATGCGTTTTGGGGTGTAATGGAGGAGTTCTTGTGAGAACTCCGAAGTTAAACGTGCTCAGTGTGGAGTACAACAAGGATGGGTGACCTTATGGGAAGTCACCTTGAATTGCATCCCAAGTCAAAAACCGTGAGGGTTAACGCCCAAAGTGGACAATATCTTTGTTAGTAAAAGGTTCGGGATGTTACAAGTGGTATCAGAGCCTCTCCGCGTCCCTCTTGAACGATGGTGGGGCAAACCTCGATGAGGGCGTTGAGTCCCAAGGGGGGGTGTATGTAACACCTTAGGCAAATCCCACATCGACAAAGCACGGGAGAGATCCATGGTTCATAAGTAGGAAACCTACCTTAACCGACAAGACGTATTTTGGAGTGTACAGGAGAAGTTCTTGTGAGAAAGACGCAAATCCCACACACGACCCTTTTTGGTCGTGTGTAAAGGTTCGATGCACCATATTGCAATTGCCTGGGACATACAAGGGAAGAATGTTACAGGATTGTGGAATTTCCCCCTGGACACCCGCGACATAAGCCTGCCGACGACACATACAGACCCGGGAACACTCAACGTCGATCACGGGCTGCTCATGTCAAACCTGATGAAACCAGCAGCACCATCCCATGACTCATTCGGCTCAGTTTGCACAGCTTCGACAATTTCTAGCTTCATCTTCTGAAACGTCCATTGATCCGACTGCACATATGGTCAGTAACAATCCTGAACTTTATGAATGGTTGCTTGATTCAGGATGTAATGAGCATATAGTCAGGGATATTAGTTTATTGGATACAGTAGCTAGTTATACTCCTCATTCTCAGGTTCGAATACTGGATGGCACATAGGGATGGCAATTTCGACCTGACCCGATTTACCCGACCTGTTTGACCTGTTTTGGGGCGGGTCAAACCCGCCCCGTAGGCGGGGCGGGGCGGGCATGGGTACCTCTCATCTACCCAACCTGCCCTGACCCGCCCCATTCTCGACCCGTTCTTGCCTAAATTACATATAATCTTAGTGAAATTACTTAAGATTTTCCTCTTATTACATTATATTTTAGCTATAATAAAGTTGTAAATAAGTGAAAACCTCAATTTCTTCAATAATTTAACTACATCTTATCATATTATGGTTTCTTTCTTGGTCTTTCAATGAAAAGAACGAATATTTCTAATGTTTTTCACATAAATTACATACCCAATGGGTCGACCTGCCCCGACCCGCGCCCCGTAATAAATTACCCGACCTGGACCCGACCTGCCATGGGGCGGGTATGGGTATCGAGATACCCGCCCCGGACCTGCCCCATTGCCATTCCTAATGGCACAGGTATTCCAGTTAAGGGGATGGGTACAGTTTGTTTGTCTGAGAATGTCACTCTGAATCTGGTTTTGTACGTACCTAGTTTCAAATGTAACCTACTGTCAGTGATCCGTTTGACTAAGGATCACAACGTGGCAGTAACTTTCTTTGGTGACTTCTGCGTGATCCTGGATTCACGTTCCAGGATGCTGATTGGAGTGGGAATGATACGTAATGGCCTTTACTACCTTCGTCGTTTTCCAGCGAGATCACCATTCTTATCGATGACACCTCAAGCTTTCAAGGTTGGTCAAGGGGAGACTTCTGGAGGACTATGGCACACACGGCTAGGACACCCATCAGTGGAAAAGTTTTCTATTTTAAAGGACAAGTTAGGTTGTTGTTTGGATTCTAAACATTGTGATGCTTGTGTGCGTACAAACCAAACACGGATTCCCTTTCCTACTAGTTCAATAAAGACTACTGGTTGCTTTGATCTCATTCATATCGATATTTGGGGTGCTTATAAGACGGCATCGACCGATGGATCGCATTATTTCTTGACAATTGTTGACGACTTCAGTTGATCTACTTGGGTTTACCTCTTGAAGTACAAGTCAGATGTCGAACGTTATCTTCTACTATTCTTTCAGCTAGTTCGTACTCAGTTTGGCAGGCAAGCTCCTTGCATTCAGGCGGATAATGGGCCTGAATTCCAGACTAACACTCTTCGGGATTACTACGAGGCTAATGGCATGATTCTTCAAACCACTTGTACTGACACACCTCAGCAAAACAATGTCGTGGAGCGCAAACACTGACATTTGCTTGAGACTGCTCGAGCATTAATGTTTCATGTCAGCTTGCCTGTTAAGTTCTGGGGAGAGTGCATTTTAGCAGCTACTTATATAATCAACCGCCTCCCTTCCGTGCCACTGTCCCAGAAAATGTCGTTTGAGGTATTGCTCGGCCGTCCGCCAGCTTATGACCACCTTCGCAACTTCGACTGTTTGGTGTATGTTAAAAATACACATCACCACCTTGACAAGTTTGCCGAAAGGGGGAGAGCCGGTGTCTTTGTGGGATATCATGCAACCCAAAAGGATTACCGCATATATGATCTTAACACCAGGTCGATTTTCACTTCCCGTGACGTTAAGTTCGTGGAGCATACCTACCCATTTGCTAAACAGTCAATAGGAACAAGTTTTCCCCAACCTCAACATGGAGCTTGCCATTGGCCCCTTGATGACGTGCATGGCATGATTTCCCCCATGCCACGTGATGACGAGCCCGCTGATGAAGTAGGTTCATCCAGATCACCTGCTTCTCACGAGCCCTCTCCGTTACCTGATGCCGCCAGCAGCAGCTCGACCTCCAACACTGGTGACACTTCCCCAGTCCTGGAGCCACTGCCTACGTCCGTCCCACCTCCACTTCGACGTGGCAATCGTGAGCGTCGGCCCCTTGGCCATCTCAATATTTACGAGGTATATATCCCTAGTGCCTCATCTTCCCATGTCAAATTTCCTATGGCCAATTATGTTCACTATGGCCGCTTCTCACCCCAACATTTTACTTTTTTGCTTGCCATGTCTCACTTGGACGAGACTCCAGATTTCTCACAAGCTGTCAAGCACAAGTGTTGGCAGGACGCAATGAAATGAGAAATAGCTGCTTTCATCGCAAATGGCACATGGACTCTCGAGTGGTTGCCCCCAGGCAAGCATCTTATCGACTCTAAATTGGTGTATAAAATCAAGTACTACCCGGACGGTTACGTGGAACGATATAAGGCTCATTTAGTTGCCAAAGGCTTCACTCAGCTGGAGGGCATTGATTTTCACGATACTTTTGCCCCTATTGCAAAACTGGTGAATGTTCGTGTTCTCCTCGCCCTGGCTTCTCAGAAAGGCTGACATCTTCACCAGCTGGACATCAACAACGCTTTCTTTCATTGTGATCTCGATGAAGAAGTTTATATGCGTGTTCCCCTTGGTTTTGCCACTCTAGGGGATGATCGTGTTTGTCGCCTTTGGAAGTCCTTGTATGGTCTACGTCAAGTGTGGCACAACTTGTACGCCAAATTCACTGCTGCCCTCCTTGATTTCGGCTTTGTCACTTCTAAGGCATATCACTCTCTCTTCACTCTCAAGACCTCCTCTTCCTTTGTTGCGGCACTCGTCTATGTCGAAGACATTGTGATCACGGGGGATGACCCGGAACTTATTCCCCCGGGTTAAGGCTTTTCTTCACCAGCGTTTTAGCATCAAAGACTTGGGTCCCCTGAAATACTTTCTCAGCATTGAGGTTGCTCGTTCTCCAAAAGGTATTGTGCTTTACCAACGGAAATACACTCTTGACATCTTGGCAGAAGCGGGGGTTAGTGCTACTCGGCTTAGTGCTTTTCCCATGGAGCAAAATCATACGCTCACCCGCCCCATCGATGACACCGCAGCTGATGTTGGCTCTTATCATCGGCTAGTGGGGTGTCTCCTATACCTCACTATCACTCGGCCAGATATTACCTATGTAGTTAATGTGTTGAGTCAGTTCGTTCATGCCCGTAGCCCGGCACATGTGGACGCAGCTCACCGGGTGCCCCGGTACCTCAAAGCAGCTCCAGGTCAGGGTCTTTTTATCCCATCCTCTGGATCTTTGCTGCTCACCGCATACAGTGATGCCGATTGGGGTGGTTACCAGACCACCCGCCGTTCCACCACGGGTTACTACATACAGCTGGAGGCGGCTCCTGTGTCTTGGCAAGCTAAGAAACAACGTGTAGGGCCATGGCCAGTACTACGAGTGGAGTCATCTGGCTACGTTTTCTCCTGCACGAGCTCGGCGTTCCCCATGTTGGTCCCACACCTCTTTATTGCGATAATCAGTTGGCCCTTCACATTGCTACCAATCCGGTATTTCACGAACGTACTAAGCATGTCGAGATGGACTGCTCCTTTTTCCGTGAACGCGTCACCTCCAGGGAGCTTCTTCCACGCAAGGTGGGTACCCACTATCAGCTGGCTGATATCTTCACCAAAGGCCTGGGCGCTAATCAGTTTCATCGACTCTTATCCAAGCTGGGCATTCGTTAATCGTTACCTTCATGCTCCAGTTTGAGGGGGAGTACTGGAATGGATTGTCTATTTAGTTTATTCTAGTGACTTTTTTGTTCTTTTCCTTAATACCAGAACTACTTGGCAAAGGGAAGGTTTGGCCTTCGGCCTTGTAAACTGATAATTGTCGAAAACATATTGATTCTATGTGCTTAATGTGATTATTTCATGATATGTTCGAGACATATAATGCTTGTTTTAAGGCCAACTGACTGTGGAATGGTTATTAGACCGTTACCGCCATGTGTTAGTATTGTGATATACGAGGTGGAAAAGCGAAAGAGTATGGAAGCATGTGCAGCTGGCGAGTACGTAGTGGACTTGAAGCCCAGCAAATGAAAAGGAGCTTTGGGCCGGAATTTCTCTCGGGAACACTTGGGTTGCATTCTTTTAATTAATTTTTTTCCCATACTCATTCTACAAGAAATTGGGATTGGGAGATTTTCTTAAGCCTACTCGGATCACTCTCCAATTGGTCGATCGATCAGTGAAAATTCCAAAGGGAGTGGTGGAGAATGTATTGGTGAAGGTGGGGAAGTTTATTCTCCCTACAGATTTTGTGATTCTGGAGATGGAAGAAGATCGGGGAGTGCCTCTCATTCTTGGGAGACCTTTTCTAGCCACTGGTGATGCACTCATCGATGTCGGGAGAGGCAAGTTGACATTCCGAGTAGGTAAGGAGGAGGAAATTTTTAATGTCTTTCAAGTTGATCATAATCACGATGCATTTGATGACTTTGAAAGTGGAGCTCGAGAAAAGAAAAATTCCTCTTCCTGTGATAGTGGACAACCTGAACAACTATCACATGTCCTATCTTCTCAGATTCTGAAATCAAAGCAAGGACATAAATCCTTGCCAGATCACCTCAAATATAGATATTTGGGTAAGGATTTCAATCTTCCTGTTATTATTCCTTCTTCACTGACATTGAAACAGGAAGAGTACTTGCTTGAGGCGCTGCAATACCACCTACGCCTCACTAAAGGATCCAACATGCCAACTAAGAAAGTCATACCGAATTTTCGCACACCAAGCCCTGCAGAGGTGACTCATATGTTGGATGGGGGTTATGCGTTCTATCATTGCTCGGGAGGGTATTCTGGATACCTTTCCATACCCATTGGTTGAAAGCTCCATGAATGTCAGGCTGAGGACGTTAAACAAGCGCTACTTAGGAGGCAACCCAAGGTGAGTTTTTTTTTTTTTTGTCTCAAACCCGTGCATGTTTAGATTAGGATTTGAACATTAGGGACAATGTTCCATCCTGAGTGTGGGGTGGTGAGTCTTAGTGTTGTTTATCCCTGTTGCATGTGGTAAAAAAAACTGTCATTTGGGTTGTGCACAGCCAAACTGCATGCAGTCTACCTGTGCTAGTGCAGTCTGCCTGTGCTAATCTAATGGCTAAAAAACACCTAAAAATTAGAAAAATTAAAAACAAAACCTTGTACTCTTGTGGTAACATGATGTAAATGACTGTGATGCCTTGAAAATGAGTTTGTGCTTGAAGGAAATCATCAAAATCACCCCACTAGTGTTGAATTGCAAAGTTCTTCGCAATGAGCTTGATAGTTTTACTGACTGGATATGCTTTGAATGAGCAAACTCTTTTAGGAACACTCTATTTTGTGAGGATAGTGTATTGACTTTTGGTGAAGTAGTTAGGTGGAGAACATTGATCATTCGACATGTTTGGATGTCGTGCTTACATGCATCTTTTGTGGGCTTTTGACTTTGCATTGAGTCTCTATGTTTTTGAAAGGTTTTATGATGGGGTGAACTGTATCTTTATAAAAGAAGAAAAATCCTACCTGACAAGTAAAATATAAGAAAGTTGCCATAACAATCAAAGTGTGGGTAAAATACCAAAATCGTGTGAGGCAATCACTCATTGCACAAGGGGATTAGGAAAGATTCAATTGAGAATCGGTTCGCGACCGTACGATGTTGCTTATCAAGTACGATTCCCCGTTGAGTGAAGTGCCATTTGAGTATGTGTAGTGACCCTCCACACGGACTGAGGAAAAGGAGTTGAAGAAGCCCTTATGCGAGTGCTAAGAAGCAGAAATTGCTCTTGCTCGGTCACTGGTAGTAAGAAACAAATCCCACTTGTACTAAATACGACAACTCGGCAAGCAAAATCAGAAAGAGAGAAAGCCTCTCCTTGTCAGAAAGGTAGTGATGTGCTTAAAGCTAAAACCAAATCTACGAAAAGCTTCCCCCATTTTTTTTTTAGACTCATGCTTAATTAATTGCTTATGATTAATGTGAGTAAGCCAGACTGTCCTCGCGAGATATGCACCTCACTGATGTAGTTACATTCTCCTAATAACTATTACACCATAAGTTGTTAATCACCCACTACCGACGATCGGAATTGAGTGTTGTTAGTTGAGTTTTTGATAGATTTTAGTCAATAAATGATTAAAGGGTTGCAAAACCTTGAGTGTGGGGTGAAAGGTATGATCATTAAAGCACAAGTCCTTTGAGAAAGAAACCATTGATTACCACAAGAGTACAAGGGTAAATTTCTTGTGTTAATGTTGTGTTTTGTGTGTCGTGGGTCTTGTGTTTTGAGCAAGGTTGTGTCTCCATGGTCTGTGTTGTGTTTCCTCCAATTATCGTTGTCTTGTCTAAGTCATTGCTTAGAGACAAGCAAGTATTGAGTGTGGGGTTGTGATAATTGTCGAAAACATATTGATTTTATGTGCTTAATGTGATTATTTCATGATATGTTCGAGACATATAATGCTTGTTTTAAGGCCAACTGACTGTGGAATGGTTATTAGACCGTTACCGCCATGTGTTAGTATTGTGATATATTTAGGTGGAAAAGCGAAAGAGTAAGCATGTGTAGCTGGCGAGTACGTAGTGGACTTGAAGCCCAGCAAATGAAAAGGAGCTTTGGGCCGGAATTTCTCTCGGAAACACTTGGGTTGCATTATTAAAAGGACCGAGTCCTTTGTCCTCCAGCAAAAGGGGAATTGGACTTGGAGGTGGATTTTGGGTGGCCCATCTTCGTTGTCCTTTAGCTGGGGAAAGAAACGGAGTTGGGATTATTTTTTGGACGGAACTAATTCTTGGAGGAGAGACTTGGACAGGGAATTTTGGAGCAGAAAGGCAGCAGGGAAATCCTTGGAGGAGAGAATTCTCTGGCGAGCGGACAAAGGACAAAGGACCGAGTCCTTTGTCCTCTAGCAAAAGGGGAATTGGACTTGGAGGTGGATTTTGGGTGGCCCATCTTCGTTGTCCTTTAGCTGGGGAAAGAAACGGAGTTGGGATTATTTTTTGGACGGAACTAATTCTTGGAGGAGAGACTTGGACAGGGAATTTTGGAGCAGAAAGGCAGCAGGGAAATCCTTGGAGGAGAGAATTCTCTGGCGAGCGGAAAGCTTGGAACGACGAGGGCGACTAGCGAGCAGCTGCCCTTGGCGGCGATTCGCGAGCAGGGGAAGAAAATTTGAGTATTTTTTCCTTTGCTTTTGATTCGTGATATGATGATTAAAAACATGATTATATCTTTTGATTTCGTCATGAATTAAACCCAATTTCTGGCGGAAACACCATAGGATGTAGCTATTTCTTGACTAGATGGATTAATTCGTATTTCTTTTCTTCCAATCTCTATTACATGAAATTACTGAATGCTTTGTGTTGACTGGCCACCAATACATCGATTTGTAGTTAATTAGGTTATTAGCGACAGGGAAACCCTAATAACTGAACATATTTCATGTGACATAGTAACTTATCGAAGCGACAGTGGATTAAATAAGGTGCTATGCGGTCTTGATTGGGATATCGTTCTTCAGGCTAAATAATTAAGTCATTGAGCTACGACTACGACAGTAGGATTTGATTTAATTGTTTAGTACGTAGTAATTCCCGACAGGGATAGCTAGCATAGTAGTGATATCCTGGCTGTAGAGAGTTGGATTAAATTGATTGGAGTATGTGAATTAATTTTGATATGATAGGTAGTGAGTCCCGGTGTTTCTCCCAGATCTTTCTCCATTGAATTTCTCCCGACATTTTTCATTACTTAAGTTGTTTTTTTAATTCTGCTTTTAGAAATTAGTTTATCTCTCAAACCATTTTCACCTATAGTTTGCTCCATAGAATTAATAGAATATAAGGTTGTACCAGTCCCTGAGAGACGATACCCGGATTTCCGGTTTTACTACAAGATAGGAATTGAAGCATTACGCTTTTGCCCTATCATAAACCTAAAGCAAAGTGTACACATAGCGCAGACTGCAAACTAGTGAAGCTTCTTTGTGAGCGATACTCTCCGTGGACTAGTCCCGGCCTCCGGGGAAACCACGTAAAACTTTGGTGTCTTCCTTTCTATTTCGTAATAGTTTTCAACGATTCCTTCCCGAATGAGTGAATGTTGGCGCTGTGCTTGGTGGAGAGTGTCACCCCTTGGTATTCTGATTTTGCCAATTATCTGATGGGAAAACAGTTACCTAAGGGGATGGCCACACACGCTAAGCGCAAACTCTTCTCTCACCTGAAGTACTATTTCTGGGAGGATACATAGCTCTTCAAGATCGTTGCCAATGGCGTGATAAAACGATTCATGATGGAGCACGAGATTGGCGACATCCTGTCTGACTATCACGAGACCCGCTGGCGGTCATCATGGAGGCAACCGCACGGCGCGAAAGG